GACCCCTCAGTTTTTGTCTGAGGTGACTACGACTGAGTAAAAAGTTAGTGAAGAGAGTGTGGCTTAGCTGTCCGTTTTTTTATATTAACAGACTCACCAAATCCAGCAATGTCGAGCACGCCGATATACCGCTCGTTCTTTGACATTGGAATGGCCTGGTTGACACAACTGACGATAAAATCAAACAGACGCGAATAAATGGCTTTTGCTAAGGCATCTCTGGCTGCACTGGCTTCTTCGCGTCGTAGAGCTATCTGGAGCTTGCCATCTGCTCCTGCACCAGTACCCCGAGTACGAGTCTCTCGAAAGAGCATCGCATTGGCCAGCACTTCCGGTTCTATACCGAAAAGACTGGCAGCATCAGAAAGCGCGCGTCGAGACTGCTGTGTGATTTGGCAGCCGCCTGAAAAATTCGGTTCATATAAGTGAAATTGGAAAGCAATTTTTATAGAGATGCATAAAACGTGAGACAGTGAAGTGATTGGAAGGCGATTTGTTCGCTTTAACTAGTCCCGAGTTATCCGAGCGAAATCAGGGTCAACCTACAAGTTAAGGTATTTATTATAATTATAAACATTTAGATGATATGGGCTAATTCCGAGAGACTTATTGGGAATATGAAGCACATAGTGCAGCACTGATGCAGTCATACTTATTACAAAATTAGGAGGAGTGGTTCTAGTTCCCAGAGGTGAGAAATAATTTGTGAATCCAGAATATTATAAGTAAAGCATGCACGACTACCAAGGAGGCAATATAAACAAGTGACTGAGTTTGGCAACAGTAGCATTAATGAAAAGAATACAATGATGGAATCTCTTGTGTGGTTCATGGGATCAGTTTGATATCGATTTTAAAACCTGAAGATAGTGCTTCTTAATGTATCCGCACTAATATCAGGTTTATGGATAAAACTAGCAACAGTAAAACCATTTGAGTAAATACGGACATTTTTCGTAAATGGGTAGATTATCGAGACTATCAGTAAATCAGGTATATGAGTTGTTTTTTCCCTATTTCGTTTAAGGTAATTGATTTTTCCCACAATGATATGAGTAGAAACAATGTTTTCTATTGAATTTCACATGGACTTGGTTTCCACATTTACGAAAAAAGTATTGTTACCAAATGCTATAGCAAATATAAGCTTGCTTTATCAACAATCCCAACACAGAATGTGATATGGAAAATGCCTGGCATTCCTCGAAATTCATATCTGCCCTTAGTGGTTTAGTGGTTAACGTACCGAGATTATACGCTGCACTGTCATGGTTCGAATCCTGCTTGTGGTGTTGATAAGACCTATGCAGCCCACCCTGGATGAGAACACCTTTTGGGAAGGCAAGGCTATGTGAAGTTTAATGGAAAAAATTAGATCTACTCATATAATTGCAGGAAAATTCAACAACCACCTTAAACGAAATAGGGTGAAAACAACTCATAATACAGACATTGACAAGAGTCATGAAAGGCATTGAATAATAACTTACTTTTTTTCATGGCTTCTCTTATTAGCAAAGCTGACTACAAATCAGCCGAAAATCTAGAGTTCAACTAAAAAGACTCAGAGCATCTATGAGCATGATACTAAGGTATACAGTGCGAAGCATGACCTTGGAAGTGCCATAGGATCACATTTAATGTTGGATACGAGCAATACTTCGCGTGAAGACTTTTTCAGCGACATCGGATAAGACACTCTGTACTTTTAGTTTTTAAAACTTATCAAACAGATCCGTCAGGTGCTGTTGATATCGTTCAATATCACTGCTGGCGAAACGGATGACATTTAAATAGACGAAAACACCATCTAAATCTAAGATGACCTCATCCATCAAGCGCTGGAGAGATTGCATTGCGTTGCTGGGATCAAACAGCCACTTGGTGGACTCAAACAGGCAAAATAAGGTAATCACAGCAGTTATTCAGATGTATGCTGGGTGTACTGATATCTGATAAAAAGCAGATTTGAGATCTATCTTCGAAAAAATGGTTTTATTCTTTAAAGTTATAGCCAAAGTCAGTGACTCGTGGGAGAGGGTACTGGCCCGGTGTCGTAACTGAATAGAATTTCGGAAAATCTCCGCAAGGCCTCCATCCCTCATTTCTTTTCTTCTGGGCCATGTAAAGTCAAGACGCCTACGGACTCTTTGAGGGACGAATGATACGGGCGTCTACTAATCCCTTAACAACAGACTTCGTTGCTCTAAGTTGGTCTGGCACGAGTTGCCGTGGCCGCAGAAAAACTTGACGACCAGAGGTCTCAGTATAATGCGTCAACGTGTGATTGGCTGCGCTACAATGTACTATTTAATTTGCTTTAGTAGGGTTTTTTGAGAAATGCGTTCCATGCTTTATCTACTTCGATTAATTGGGAACAATAACGTGCTGGTGCCAGTTTGGCGTAGCTGCACCTTGTGTCATGGACAAAAATAAGATCCTAAGAGACCCCTTAGCAGACTGTTGCTGTACCCGCTAGGACATTAATTTTCCGATCGTATTAACCCCATAGGAACTCAATAATCTTCTTGTCATGTGGAAAGAGACACAACCAAGCGCACAGAGACAGAACTCTTTATGTTTCCAACATTATGAATAAGAATCGAGGTAACGTTTCTTTGAAGATGAGTGTGGATGGGATCTGGATCCACAAAGTTGGGACTGTTTCTTCAGTTGCAGATGCATGGCTTTCAACAGTCTTAGTATATGTAACATCGTTGTTCTTTTACTCTATGGTTGTTTATCTTTGATCGTGGCGATAGTCTTAGTATGCGGAATGATTACCTCCATCATGGCGTCAACGATTATGGCAGCCTTCAAAGGCAGTCGTACCTTGATGAAAAGTCGCCTCATCTAGAACTGCTGAAGCATAGGGTCAAGGTTGGAGAATGGTCCGGCAAATTACCAAAAACGGGCCGGTAGCACTGAGGGATTCTGATCCCTTAGTCCTTCTGCATCGGGCAAAGTTTCCATCCTCTGTTGTTCTGAGGGTGAAACCAGATCGATGACATATTGTTTAAGTTCGCCATAACACTCCGGTCCTCGCCCACCTAGCAGAAAATGTTTGCGAGGTTTGTTAGCTCGAATAGTAGACGATCGAATGGGATGAGGAACTTTGTCTCACTGCTCTGGATTCGATACACATAAAAAATTAACTCTATAGGGTTGGGTCTATTAAAACAGGGCCCCATAGCGTTGACAGCACCATAAAAAAAATTTAGCTGCCTTTTTCGCGGACATGAGGTTCGTTATCTACTGTTTTGGTATGGCGAAGTAGGGAGCACCTTGTGCGTATTGTGCGCTGCTTGTAAGAGTTCGGGTAAAACCGGCCCATCAGTTTAGAGATCTAGGCGTCAGTGAAAATATGTGCTGGGCTTCGCGATACTATGTAGAATATTGCGGCCTTGTAAGGAGAAACAAAAACGAGTCACCGGGAACCTTGCATAGAGCAAGAAACGTTACATGAATAGGGATTTAATGTATGAGCAAAAAAATCGGCGGCACGTGGCGTCGAACGAGAAATCAGTGTTAGAACATACGGGGTCACAAAGAGCAAGAGAAGTGGCGAAGATAAAAGCCGTCAGTCCACGCTGTTTTCGGCTTAAAATATTTAAAATGCCATATTCCGGTTGGGTTAACAGGAAGATTTGATGCAGCGGCTAAGTTGGCTTAGCCATTGCGGGACATTGTGAGTTTTAAGTAGTAGATATGCTGAAAGATTAATGCTTACTGGATTATTGTTACAACAATTGCAACAAAACTGTGGTTGTGGGGTGGAAGTCACTACAAAGTATTAAATCGAGGTCAAAACATCTTCTACGATGAAAATAGTAATAGCAAACTGGCGGGCTTCGCAAAGGGTATCTGAAGCAAAATAAGATGACAAATGAGGCGCACTAAATTAGTCGAGAGAGGTGCTCTGTCGTGTACTGGGAGGAAAAATGGCAGAATGAAAAAGGAACAACATAATGAAGCTGGTGCTATGTCCGGCATGGCAATAACTGAGACGAAGTAAGAGATGAGGTAAATCAACTGATGTTAAGTCATTCCAGTGTAGGCGGATAATAAACATATTCAGGATTAATGTGAGAGAAAGCCTGATTTTATGAATGGATTTTATTTAGTCATGCATTTCAAGAAGACGCTCTTATCAGGGATGGACTACCATTTTAACCTCTTCTCTTCTCATCTACGGGACTAGATTTATGTGCGTGCGGGTTAGGCACTAAACACGACCCTAGCACCATCGTGTTAGATAGCAAACCTACATTTCAAAACAGAGCAAAATTCTGTCAACTCGTATCGTGCTGAAGAGAATTTCGTAGGTGGCCAACTGTATTTTTTGCAGTAAAGTGAATACACTAGTGAATAATATAATTGGAAAGAGCCTTGTTTAAAATTTAATAGGAGAGTGATCACTATCAATGTATAATAATTTCGAAAGAGTGATTATCTGAAGAGAAGAAATGATTTTTTCTATGAATTTAATTTCGTCATGCAGCCTAGGAAACCCAACTCATACAGAATGCTTACCACGTGACGTGGTGGGATAGCAAGGCATTTGCCTTTTAACCCCCACGGCCACGAATTTAATTCTATTAGAGGCGCTGATGAGAGTTGGGTGGGCCAAAACCGAGTAGTGAGCCAGATCGTATAGGGAATGATAAATATTGATGGTCTAAGGATGAGTGGCTAATGACTCAGATCAATACAATTCATAAAATGGTAAAGATGGAGATACTGGAAGAAGTTGGTCTAAGGAAGCTACTATTATGATTAGAACAATCCACGAAAGGAGTTGAGAGCGAATAGGATGAGAGCATTCCACATGTCAATTGTGCACATTGTACAACTATGTGATCTCGTGCTATGGTAGCGAATACAAATAACTGCCTATTCTATAAAAGGAATATTAATCAGAGCGCAACGTAAATGGAAATCCTGGCATTATGGAATATACAGCAGTGATTCAAGGTCTTCTTAAATATAGCAGATGTGAAGAATACATAAAATAAAAATATCTTTTGATGAAAAGTATAATCTGATTAATTTCCTCATAGAAAATCTACCGG